TGACTGTTTTCGGGCCTGGAGGGCAATACGTGATATTTGAGAGAGCTGAGCGTGTTCAAATATAAGGGATCAAGGAAAGGGTACAGTGTCATCCTGGGGTTTGAGATCACTGTGTGCATTTCAGAAAATCCTGATCTTTGTCAATAAACCAGTGGGACACAGGGAGTGTTTTAACGCTCAAAGTGTTATTATGGTGGAGAGAAAATGTTCCGAATATTTGGTTACTGGGGACACTCAACAGAGCCCAGGACAGCAAGACTTTTGGTTTGTGTAGGGGTTTGTTTCCTGTGTGCTGTGGCCCAGGGGAACCTGCATAACCCACGGTCACAATTAAAGCACATCTCGAGTCATTGCTCCGTGTGCTTTCTGGGGCCTGGGTGACAGTGTCTGATCTGTAAGGGACCTGATTAGTAACCAAGAAGCTTGGAGAACCCTGAAAACCAGTGCAGTGCATCTGAATTTTCATGGCCCACACATACAAAAATATTGCTCAATGAAGTCTGGGGATCAGAAATCATCCTCTCAACTTTGTGGAAGTCAGAAAACCAGAGTGCAGACTATTTATGATTCAGAAAAGGGCTCGGTAGGCTCTGGGTGCAATGCCTCAGTTTTCGTGAAGGAATTAGGGAGCCTCGTTCACACTTTGAGGGTTCTGGGCAAAGTGCTCAGTGTGTTGGGGGGACATGGGAGTCTTCATGTAAGATTTAGGGAACCCAGGCTGGTGCCAATACATTTGTGGGATGCGGAGGACAGCGTCCTAAAGTGTGGTGAACCAGGAGAACAGGGCTTCAGTGTGGGGGAGCCGGGACAGACACAAGCAGGCTAGCTTCAGAGACCTTGCAGTTAGTGCCCAAAATTATGGAGGCACAGGGAGAAAGCTCCACTTGCTTTGGAGACGCTGCCTAAGTGCCAGCAACACCCTGTCCACCTTCTGGGGAGCCAGGCAAATTGGTCAGCAACATGACCCGGGGTTAACGCTGAGATTTTAGGGGAGATGGGATGGCGGTGCATCAACTGCAGCAGGGCATACAGAACTGCTAAAATGTCCAATCCGTTGGGGGACCCAGGCCACTAGGTGACTGGGGAAGCCCGCGGGGCTTGCGTGTCTCCAGGTGCCCGGACATGGACATGCGAGAAAATTCTCGTGGCCTAGGGAAATGAATGTAGAAGACCTGGGAGTAAGCCTTCCGTTTGGAGTATCATAGGGGGAAAAAAATAATAACGATGCCCGCGCTTGGTAGGAGCAGGGAGGTCGCGCGGGGGGCTGCGACCCTGGAGGTGCAGCAGCGGGGCTCCCGGGGCCGGGCAGGCGCCGCGCCGCCGCCGCCGCCGCCACCGCTCCCCCGCGTCTGGGGGCTTGCGCGCGGAGCAGGGGCGCCCTCCCCGGGGGACGCGGGCAGGTAGCGCCGGCTCCTGGGGCGCGCGCCCCGGAAGGAGAAGCGCAGCTCTTTCCCGGGCCTTCTGGTCGCCGGGAGCGCGCCTGTGGCAGCTGCCAGGCTGAGCGGCCGCGGGGCGGAGGGGAGGCACCCGGGACCCGAGAGGGAGCGACTTGGGCGCGGCGCCCCGGCGCTCCCGGGGCTCCCCGCTCCCCGCTGGGCCGCCTCCGACGCCGGCCCCGCGCTCCCCGCCGCCGCCGCGCCCCACGCGCTCCCGCGCTGCGAGCCTAGGCGAAGCCGCATCCCGGCGGCCGCCGCGGGCAGGCTCGTCCCCGGCTCGGCTTGGGGGCCCGGGAGCACCCCACACAGCCACCCCCGCGCGCCCGGGCACCCCGCGAACGCGCTTCGGGCTTCAACCAGCCCGCACGCGGGGCCAAAACCAGTTTTGCCTGGAAACCCGAAGAAGGAAGGGGGTGCCGGGGAAGAAGAAGGGAGACCTGGGGGGGGGGGGACACTGCATGGTGGCTGGGGCACCAGGGGTCTCCTTTCGTTTTCTCCAAGCATTTTCTTGCAAAGCCTCACTATCTCGGCTGGGAAAGGCCAGTTGCTTAAAAGCCAGTGTTGCAGCTGATGCAGCCGCAAGGCACTGCTGGCGAGAACAGGGTCACCCCTTGGACCTGAGCGACCCTGGGGGTGGGGGGCATCTGAAGGGTGCAGAGCTGCCAGGAGGAAGGCACTTCTGGGGCACAGTGGGCCAGCGGGATCCCGGGGCCACTGCAGTGGGCACCGCTCATCCCCATGGTCACCCCTCAGAGGGACCCCAGCTAGAAAGGGCGGCTCGAAGCCTGACATTCTGGGAAGGCAGGGGTTAATGCCATTGGACAGGTGTGGGGACCCAGTCTAGGCTGAGGCAGCCCTTCACATGGTTTGGCAAGACAGGGAGACCCCCCCTCCCCACACCACCACCATGAAAAACAGCCCATTTTCCACCCAGGCCAGGCACGTGGGGAATGTTCCCCCTTCAAATTCCAGTCCGCATCAATCACCCCGTGTCCCATTCCAAGAACATCTGGCCTGTCTCCCCCCCACCCATCACCGCCCCCTCCCCTCTCCACCAGCCGTGTAGACTCCTGTGTCCCCAGCTTTCAGGCCTGTGCGGGTAAGCCTGGGGACGGAGGGAGGGCGAGAGGGGAGCTTCCAGCAGAGAAACCCTGGGAGCCTTCAAGGTGCTCTCTGCTTCATGGAGACCAGTGAATTTTGGGGCAGGGAGTTGGGTCCCTGGGAGCCCAGAGCACATTTCCAGTCGTCCCCTGGAAGGGCCTCTGCTTATGGACAAATACAGGGCTCCCTGGGGTTCTGCGCTGGGCTCCCCACCTTTCCGCCAGGCCTGCTTTCCAGACTGGGAGTGGGAGGGATGCTGAGGTGAGACCCCCTTTGCAAAGGGTGGGCTTTCCCCCAGTTAGGGGTGCATGCGGGGAGGGGGGCAAGCACAGCAGCAGTGGGGGGTCCCTGTCCTGCTCTCTGCTCACACAGGCGCCCGCCCTGGAGAAGCCTCTGCCTGGTGCTTGGAGACATGCCCTTGCAGCCTCTGCCTGGACCTTGGAGGTAGGACAACTGAGGCCACTTTGGGGTGCCAGGCTGAGCCACTGGGGCAAGGAGGGGGGGTTGCACATGTTCTCCCTTCCCCCTCCTCCTCCCTCCCCCCTCCAAGAGCTGCCCGCTGAACCGTAGCCTTATTTAGTCAAAAAGTATGGCTAAGGGGGCAGGCTTGGCAGGGGCAGATCCGGGTCACCCTGGGGCTCAGAAGAGGTACTGACTGCCCCCAGTCATCACCAGTGTCAGGCTGTCCCCGACTTCCGGCCCTCCACTGTAGGACAGGGGCTAGCTGCAGCAGCCTGAGCGGTGGTGGGGCTGGGGTCTCTCCTGCACAGAGCTTGGCTGGCAGAACTTCAGCCCCAGCGCCACCCTCCCCCCTGCCCTGCTCCAGCCCCGGCAGCAGCAAGAGCCTCCCCTGCAGACCGCAAACCCCTGCTCCACGGAGAAGAAGAATCGTCCCCCCACCAAAATTCGGACTCACCCTAAGAGCTTGGCCCCTACGCCCTAGGCCTGCGGCTGCACTCTCGCCCACCTCCCGGCTCCCCTGCTCCCCTGCTCCCCTGCTCCCAGCAGGCGGCCTTTCTCCTTCAAGGGTTTCCTCCCACAGCTCTGGCTCTGAGCTGGCCGCTCCCTGCTCCCTGGGACCAAGCCCAGCGTTTTGCAAACTCTGCTCCATTCTCCGAGGGTCCCCTGAGCGCCCCTCCCTCACCCACCGCAGAGCACCCGCCACTGATGCGCACGCAGATCATGGACTGGGCTCCAGGAGGGGCTCCCAGCTCCGTGTCAGCCCCAGCTGGAAGCAAGGGACAGAGACTTGGACAGAACCACCAGGACCCGACGGCACCAGCCACCCAAGGCACCAGGCGCCACAAGCCAATGATCCATGAAACAAAAGCTGAAAGTAGGTAGGGGTCGGGTGGGGGGCCCAAAGGGAGGGGGTGAGCAGGCGCATTGGGGAGGGACCCAGGCATGGCCACTATTGTGCTATTTTATGTCTTGTCCAAAATAAAGACACTTTAAAAGTGTCATGGCCTCTCTCTCAGATGGGCCAACGGGGCTGGAAGGGGGTCATCTGCTGGGTCCCTCCCTGCCAACTCTGGAGGGGGACCTCAGTCACTTTAAGGTCCAGTGCAGGGACACATACCCACCCTGCCCCCACTTCCAAAGCTTCCGGAGACCCTGGAGCTAAGCACCCCTCTAGGGCAGCTCTGCCTGAGCCCCTGTCCCAGTACCTTGTCAGTGAACTAGCGTGGCAGTCACCTCCAAGCCTGCTTCAGAAGTGTCCCAGGCGCTCTGGCCCCGGGCCTTTCTAGTCTCCCCCCCCAACCCCCACTCACACACACAGGAAGCCCCTCCGGCTGAACACAATGGAATCCTGACACCGGTGCTTGTATGGCCCCGTGCAGCGCTCAGAGTGCCTGTGTGGGCCCTGGGTCACTACCTCCCTTTCCTCTCATAATGGAACAGCCAGGAGGTCTGAGACTGCCACCTACTTTGACAAATGGGGACACAGAGAGGTCAAGCCACTGGTGCAAGGTCCCACAGCCCGGCAGCCAAGAGCAGGGAGGACCTGGGTCTCACATACCCCAGGCTGAGGCCCACTTGCCTGGGGTCTCCAGCTTCTGTCCCTTTGATGAGTTTCCCCTCTCCCCTATCCCCCTGCTGCTTTCCTTCTCCTTCCTCCAATTCTCTCCCCACCTGGTCCATGTCCCCTGCCTCCTCCCATGCACAGCTCCCTCCCTTCCCTTGCCTTCTTTTGCCAGGAGCTCCCTGGCCAAGGACCCCTGGAGGAGCCCAGAGTGCAAGGAGCCTGCTGTGCTCACACCAGGGACAGGCACCTGGAGCAGACCCCCTGAATCACAGATGACCCGCCGAATGACACTGAACACACCCCAGCTTCCCCAGGCCTGGTGGGTGAGGGGGTGCCCCTTGGACAGAAGGAAAGGAGGCCCTGGCACCCAGCCTGACACTTGGAGAGCTCAGCCAGCTGACACCTCTGCCTGGCCCTGGGGATCTGAAGACACTCACCGCTCTGGCGCTGGAGCTGGCTTCAGGTCTCAGTGCTGAGCGCTGGGGGACCACCTGGGCCACAGACCGCAGCAGCTCACCTCAGGGCTGGGTTCTCGAGCGGCTCTGGCTGGCTGTGGCTCAGGCTGCAGCTCCGGCCGGGGCTGCGGCTCCAGCTGGGGGGCAGCCTGGGCAGGGGCCTCTGCTGGATGAGATGCCAGGCCTTGGGGCTTGGGATCTACCTCCCCCCCTGGGAGTTCGGCAGTGACTCTTCCCCTGGGGAAAACACAAAGGTATTCCTGAGATGAGCACTTTTAAAACAAATCCCCCCAAGCCAGAGCCCTTCCAGTCCCCTGGCTGTTCAATGGGAAGGCCTGCAGGTCACCTTGCCAGGGTTTGGGGTGGCAGCTCCTCTTGCTGTCCCTCTGGCTGCCTACCTCCCCCTTTTTCAAGGTACAAGGGAAAGGGGAAGTGGCCCACAGTTCACCTAGGTCTGGGCTTCCCAGCAGCCAAGCCTGAAATGGTGCCTACCCATGAAGAGGCAGGAGCCCCTTCTGGGGGGTGGGCTGTCCCTTCCTGGCTGGTGTGGATGTGTGCCTGGGCATAGGGTGGGGGTTGCCCACACAAGGCCTGCCTTGGGGATCCCAGCATGCTGTGTGACCCCCCCCACTCTCCAACATTCCCACCTTTGCTGGAAGCAAGGAGGGGGGCAGGCACAAAGCAAAGGACACATGGTTCTGTATGCAGAAGTCAGCTGGATGATTGGAGGTGGTGCGGTGGGACACTGGGCTTCCCTGGGAGATGCAACCCATCCCCACCAGCTGTATGGAGAAGTCTGGGACCCTGGATGAAGGGGAGAGAAGCTTCACATGCAGAGTTATGCATGCTCCCTGGGGAAACTGCCCTTGCCCCAATGTCCATTCTGTGGGAATGAGAAGCACCAGAAGAATCTGGGGATGGGGCATGCTGGCAGGGGGACAGGAGCTCTAGTCTTCCCATCCTGCTGAGGGGTACCAAGGCACTTGGCCATCCTTTGTCCTCCTCCTCACTTTCCTTTCCAGTTATTTAGTGGGATTCTTTGGTTATGGTTGGGAGGGGTAGGGAGCAGGGAGAGGGGGAAGCTTTACTTTTAAAATGGTATAAAAAAAAACTGTTCCAAAACCTCGGGCCCCTGGCCCCTCTGCATGGTCTCCTGTTTCTCTTTGGTTGGGATTGGTGGTAGTGGTTGGGGGGGGGGGGCTTGCAGCAAGAGCAAACTTCTCACACAGAAAAACCCTGCCTTTTACATTTGCAAGAACAGCTGTTCACTCCCTGGAGAAGAACAGCCCTACCCTCCACCCCTGCCCCTCCCACTCTGCCTGGCAGATTAGTGAAGGAAAACCTATTTTCCTTGCAAAAGCCTCTGTGGCTCTGCATAGCCCTATAGAAGAGCCCCTCCCCACTTGTCTTTCCTATCCCCTCCAAAGTTGAGGCTACACTTAGGCAGCTTGCCCTAGGCCCTCCTTCCCACAGCACAGATTCTGTCCCCCCTTTCAGAAATGGGGATCTTGTTAGCTACCCCAAGCCCCCAGCCCACCCATGCCTCAACACAGCATGCAGTGCTTCTCACACAGAGGCTGCAGCAAGAGGGAGGGAAGCCCAGTCACCTGTACTCTAGTCGCTGCGTAGTCCCCGAAGTGCCCGGGCGGTGGATAAAGAGGACCGGGGAGTCACTGGTGCCCAAGGCTCTCTGCCGAAACTGCCCGGACGATGATCCGCTGGTCGGGCCAATATTAGCAGTCGTCGCCAAAGCAGGGGGTGCTCTGGCTGGGGTGCCCAGACCCTCCAGCCGGGTTGACGTGGAGGAGGAGGAGGAGGAGGGGGACGAGGCTGAGGCTGGAGAGACGACGAAGGGCACTTTTAGAGTGTGCATTATAATAGCCCCCTAGAAGCGGGAGAGGCTCTCCACCAGAGCACAGCACCTGCTCCAATGCCAACTGAAATTAGTCTTGCCCCTCACCTCCTCGTCCCCTCCACGCCTTTCCTCGAGCCCCTCCAAATTGGGTAGCGTTGCGCCAACTCAGTGGTGCTGGGGCCACTGGGCAGCTGGCTGTGGCACCTTCTCATGCCAGGGCACAGTGCACAAGGGGGTGGAGACTTGGCCCGCCCCCTGACCCCGCGGAGAGGCGTGTGTGGGTGGGGGCATAGACCGGAAGCACTTCTCCAAGAGGTGGGACTATGGGGAGGGGTGGGGAGTGGGTGGGGCCTCCTTAGATTGACACTTGGCAGTCACTTGACACCCTGGAATGCCCGTGGGCGTGGCACGGGTAAAATGGCAACGGGCCATAAGCAGAAAAAAAGCAGGGTTCGAGAATGGTCAGAAAAAACTCTTTTTAGGTGCTCCCAAGGCAGCTGCACTGCAGCGCTGTCACATTCTCCAGTCCTTAGGGGGTAGAGGCCTCATCTGGGAGTTTCCTTCTCTCACTGGTCACTTCTGATAGGACCCCTGCACCATAGGTGTGGTGGCAGGTGGCAACCCTGAGTACCAGTCTACTCTTAGGTACTGAGGGTGGGATGTTGGGCTCATAGCCTTTGAGTGTGGCTGAAACTCCAATCGATGCACAGTCTCACAGCCATCAACAGCTGGGGAAGGGCCCAGGCAGACATGCTGCCCAATGGAGCTAAATCTCACAGGGAATTTAAACCTATGCCCCAAGGCTTGCAGGGAGAGCAGGAAGCAGAGCAAAGATTCACTGAGGGGCAAAGACATGTGTATGTCCCAGGAGGCCACCAGTCCCATCCATCCCAGCTCCCTGCACCCCAGCTGGGTACAGTTAACTGGCACATGCTGGGGTTTCACTCTTACACAAACCCTCAATCAAACTCCCTTCCTTAGCTGGAGGGATGGTGCATCCAGTGGGTACAACAGGATTTTTGGTGGAGAATAGGGACTTGAGGGGGGACTCCAATCTTGCAAGTGTGTCTCAAAGGCTATAGATGCTCCAGAGCCACACCACCCTACAGGAAGAGGGCTGGTGGGACTTCCTGCTGGGCTCTTGGATAAGGAGGGATGCAGAGATGCTAAAGGGCCCTGAGGCAGGTCTGGGGCACATAGAGGGGAGTCAGTGTGAGTCAGCCCACAGTTCCTGGGGTAGAGTAGGCACTTGCTCATGTTGGCTGTGACCCTGAGCTCATGTGGGCTCTATGCCCTGAAGGCTTTGCATCCCGTGCTGTCCCCTGCAAGAAACTCAGATGTTGCAAGGAGCTACTGCCTGGTTCTTATGGGAAGACTTAGCTGGGACCTGCCAAGCCACAGGTGTGGCTGGGGTGTGCAAGAGCTGACTCCAAGGCAGACATGAGGGTTCTACAGGAGGCCCTCCAAACTGAGAAGGTGGGCAGCCAAGGGGCTGAAAAGGAAGTAGCTTTTCAAACCCTCAGATGACTTCCTGGAAACATGGAAGCTCCCATCCCTAAAACAGTGTCTTGAATCTGAGTTCTGCCCTAATCTGGATTCTTATCTCAGGCCTGGCCCAAAAGGGAATATACAGGGCGATTTTAACCCACCAGAATCTTGGAACACAGAGTGCTTAAGCAAGGGGAGGGGGGCGGAGGATGGGTTAGGGTGGGGAGGGCCCAGGAGGACTAGCTAAGCCAGGTCACCACTGAGGCAGTGCTAGAGGCATTGGGTCAGAGAGATGGGTGAGGGCTGGGACCCATGGCCCTGTATTCCATTTCTTTTCCATGGTGGAGGGAGAGCACATGGCCAAAAGGGGATACAGATAGTGGGAACACAAAAGAGACAAGTTTGGAGTGCCGGATGGGACTAAATCTCACTGGGAACTTAAACTTGTCCTCCAAGCTTGCAGGGACACCTCATAACAAAAACTTCATTGCCCTACCTTTAGGCCTGGGAGAGAATCATCCCGCCCTGGAGTTCTGGCCAGGAACTCATTTATTCAGGAGACTCCTGGGGCACCCCCAGAAATCCTAAGTGCGGAGTTTCCTCCACTTGGCGGCTTGAGCGGCCTCATGCTGACACCTGGTGGCCACTTCTAGAATTACAGCGAAAGAGCCCACCGGGCTTAGAACAGCCTGGGGAGAAGGCTGGGGGTGGGCCAAAGGACATTTCTCTCCCAGACAGCCCCCGAAAGCGTCAGAGTACTTACAGGTGGGCTCTGCACCTTCATGTGCTCAGAACGGAGGCTCCTATACGCCTCCATCCTGGCATGACAGAACAGGTGGTGGAGGGAGGCCTAAGGGAATGCCCCCCTTGGGAGACTCCCCAACACCAGCGGATGTGGCACAGATGCCCAAAACCACAGGTGCAAGCTGGGACACCTTCCAGAAGCATTGCTGTGTTCTGAAAATTAGAGGTGTCTATATTATATTTGTATTAGGATAATATCAGATGGATTACTGAGAGGCTCTGGGAGGGATGTTGGGACCCCCACCCCAGGCAGGGACCTGGGGAGGGGCTGGGGCAACCTGAGTTTTGCCCTCCAAGCCCGACGGGGAGCAGGGTTTTCCAAATCTGGCCCAAGCCCGACACCTTGTGGCTATTTGTTAGAAGTGCAGCTACAGCCTCAGAAAGCCTAGTTTCCCTTAAATAGGTAATAGTGTCACCTGGACGAAGACAGGGTCACTTTAACAAACCTGGGAATTGAGAGAACCCCATCCTGAATGCGCTAGGTTTTGTGCCAGGAGACTCCCTGCATCTGCACAGCAGGCAGTCTGACTGGCCCTGGGTTGGGGAGGAGACTGCAGAGGCCAGCTCACGGACTTGAGGGCTCCTCAGGCCTCCATCACCAGGGCTCTGGGGCCGCTCAGCCTGATGGGGGGCAAGGGGACGGATGGACAAGAGGAGGCCTGGAGGCTGGCTCGGTTCACATTCTGACTTTGCCCATGGAGGTGGGCAAGCTGGGCCATGCCCTCAGCTTCCACCTCCTCCTGACCTCGTAAGTCCCATGTATTGGGGCATCAAGCCTGGAATCAGTGTCTGGCGCAGAATAAGGCTAATAAATTCTCACTATTTTACTGCCCCAATGCGAATGTGTACCTGTCCCTCACTCCCCTCACCGCTGGCACTAGAACATCCTTCCCTGGTGCCATACAGAGATGCACCCCAGGTGGCTGGTAGGGCGGCTGCAGGCCCTGGCTGGTCCTGGGATGCCTGCCTGCAGGGGCCTGTCTAGCTCCTTCTCCTTTCCTGGTCTCCTCTCTGTGGGGGCTGCCTCAGGACTCCAGGCTCTGAGGCTCCCCCCTTGGGGAACTGGTCCTCCTGGAAGGGGCCTCACATACCCACAGGCCACACCGTGGGGACTGCATCAGCTTCCTCTCGCCCCTGATCCTGGGAGGACAGTTGGACCCTGTGCTGTCCCTGTGCCATCAGATCCCAGAGAGGGGAGCAGCTTGCTGGACACTGGAAGCAAGTAGTGGACTCGGAACAGATCACTGAGCCTGAAGCCCAGCTTTGGACTTCCTCAACCCCTCACTCACCAGCCTGGCCCTCAGTACAGTGTTTCATGGGGTGACAGTGACATGGATGAAGTTTGTCCTGCTGGGCAGGCCCTGGGAAGGGATCCTTACACACATAGTGCCCCATGCTGGGCCCTCTCAGCAGCCACCGCAGGGACAGCCTTCTCTGGTTTCCCTCTGAGAGACAGGGAAACTGAGCCCCAAAGGTGTTCAGCAACTTTCCCAAGGCCACCCAGCCATGAGCAGCAGAGCAAGGCCTTGCACCCTGGTCCACCTGGCCTACCAGCAATCCCCGTTCAGCGTGGCACTGGCCTGGGTGGACACTCCAGCTGTCCCCAACACGCTGAGGCTTGAGGACACGGGAGGTGCTCACAGGACTTGCCCCATCGTGTCCCCCAGACTCAGCCTGCCTTTCTTTTTGGCCAGGACCAGCTCATGCCCAGCCATGAGGAGGTTCCTGGGGGGCATCTGGGTGAATGCAGCTGCCACTGTGGCTCCAGGGAAGGTGGCTTAGGCTGTACCTGACCCACAGCAACAGCCTGACATGGACCTGTCCTCAAGGTTGAGATGCCTGTGTAGGGGCCCAAGACACTTCCTCCAGGCAGCCTCTCAGCCTGACCTCTGTTCTGAGCTCTGTGTGTGGCTAGCACCAAAGTGTTTCTCAGGCAACTCTTCCTTCCTCCAGAGCTGGGCCTCTCTGCCACTTCCTTTCGCCACAACTGGGCCAGGGTCCAGAAAGCACCCCCGTGGGCCACCAGAGACCAACCCATCCTCTAGGCCTGGGGAGGGCCTTTCCACCCTTCCTCTACCCCTGCTCCTTAAAGATCTCCTTGACAGGTTGAGCATGTCAGACCTCACCAGGGTACCTGGAGGGTTGGGGAGGACCAAGTTGGGCCAGGGAGGGCCAGGAAGTGCCAGGAAGGGTCAGAGAGAATTATAGAGGATCAGGTAAGGGCCGGGGAGGGTCAATGGGGTGTCAAGGAGTGTTAAGGAAGGCCAGGAGGTGACAGAGAGGGTCAGGGAGAACCAGGGAAGGTTACAGGGTATGAGATAGGGGTATGGAGGGTTGAGGAGAACCAAGAAGGGCCAGGGAGGGCCAGGAAGGGTCTGAGAGGGTCAGAGAGAGTCAGGGAGAGTTATGGAGGATCAGAGAGGGCCAGGGAGAGCCGGGGAGGATCATGGGGTGTCAAGGAGTGTTAGGGAAAGCCAGAGGGTGACAGAGAGGGTTGGGGAGGACCAGGGAGGGTCAGGGAGTGTTACAGGGGATGAGAGAGGGGCATGGAGGGTCGAAGGGGACCAAGAAGGGCCATTGAGGGCCAGAAAGGGTCAGGGAGGGTCAGGGAGAGTCGGGGAGGGTCAGGGGTGTCAAGGAGTGTTAGGGAAGATCAGAGGGTGACAGAGATGGTCGGGGAGAGCCAGGGAGGGTCAGGGAGGGTTACAGGGGATGAGAGAGGGGTATGGAGGGCTGTGGAGATCCAGGGAAGGTGAGGGGGTGTCAGGGAGGGCCATGGAGGTTTGAGGAGTGTCAGGGAAAGCCAGGGGGTGTGAGGGAGGGTCAGGGAGGATTGCAGAAGGCCATGGAGGACCATGGAGGGTCAGGGAGGGCCAGGGGATGTCAGAAAGGGTCAGGAAAGGTCAAGAAAGGCTAGGGAGGGTCAAGGAGAATTACAGATGATCAGGGAGTGTCAGGAAGGGCCACAGGGTGTTAGGGAAGGCCATGGAATTTCGGGGAGTATCAGGAAAGGCCAGGGGGTGTCAGGGAGGGTCAGGAGGGCCAGCAGGTGTCAGAGAGGGCCAGGGAGAGTTACAGAGAATCAGGAAGTCCAGGGAGGGCCAGAGAGAGTGAAGGGGTGTCAAGAAGTGTCAGGGAAGGCCAGGGGGTGACAGGAAAGGCCATCGAGGGCCTTGGAGGGTTTGGGAGTGTCAGGAGGGCCATGGAGGTTCAGGGAGGGTCAGGGAAAGTCAGGGGTGTCAGGGAGGGTCAGGGAGGATTACAGAGGATCAGGGAGGGCCAGGGAGGGCTGGGGAGGGTCAGGGGGTGTCAAGGATTGTCAGGGAAGGCCAGGGGGTGACAGAGAGGGTCGGGGAGGGCCAGGGAGTACCAGGGAGGTTCGAAGAGGGTCAGGAAAAGCCAGAGCCCCAGGTTCAGAGCCTCAGCTTTACTCCAGGCCTCCCAAATTCACCTCTTCCCAGCCCTGTCTTGCGGCCCAGTGAGCATCCGCGCGGGCCAGAGCCACAGTGCAGAAGCCAAGGTCCAGAGAAGGAAGAGAATTTCCAACGTCCCTCAGCAACTGGGGGCCTAGGCGTCGGGGGGCAGGCAAGGTGGCCCCGCGGGAGGCTGGCCTGGACCTGGGCCAGGTTCTGGAGGGAGGACGGCCTTTGAAGAACAAAGGAGTGGGCTCGGAGTCACAGCGGGAATGGCCACAAGCTGGCAGGGCTGCTGGGGCGCTGGCTCTGTTTTCCAAAAACACAGATGGGCTGGGAAGAGGGTCAGAGCGAGGCCGGCGAATGTGGGCCCCCGCCCCCCCCAAGTTCTGATGGCTCAGCAGCCCCGTCCACATGGGGCTGGAGGGGCGGGGCCTGCCCAGAGGCTCAGGGGCTTGTGACCCCCAGGCCAGGACCTCAAGGCCTTCTGCCTCCCTGGGGAGGCCTGCCCTCCTGGGCTCACAGACGGGGAGCCCCAAGTGTGACTGTAGGGGCCCAGGCTCAGCCCCCCCCAGTGACCCTGCGACATGGTCCGGCAGTCAGTCTCTGGGGTCGGGACATTCTGAGACTCCCCGGGTGAAGGGAGCTGGAGAGGCAGCCCCAGGTGACTCCCTGCATCCTACAGGTTCCAGCCTCCCCCTGGCCGTGGGCTCGGCAGTGCCCCCAGAGCCCCGTGTCTCTGCCCAGTGCCTGGGAGCGTGGGAGTCTTGGGGTGAACTCTCAGTATAGCCCAGAGCTCTGCATCGGGAGCAGCATCAGGAACCCCTCAGTGGAGCCCTGGAGGCCATGGGCCCTGGTCCCCCCACATCCACAGATGGGCAGGAGGCACTGAGGTAGGGAGGGGTGGTGGGCGACCTGGGAGCTGTGGACCCGAGGGGCGTGGGGGGCCGGTGGGGCTCGGCGCCGGCGTGGCCTGACCACACTGTAGGGGATGATGGGGAGGCGCCTTCATCAGTGTCCACTTTCGAAGGAATCCGCCTTGCTGTCCCTGTGTCGAGGCCAGAAACAATAGTGCCGGACGGAGGGGGGGAGGAGAGCCAGCCCCCCGCCACCCTGTTGGCCTCCATACTTCCCAGATCCCCGTCCGCCTCCTACCCCAAAATGTTCTTTCTGGAACTGACCTCTCTCCTCTCAGCACTTGGGTGGGGACGGGGCTACACATGGGAAAGAAATAACCCTGACCCAGTTGGACCCCTGCCTGAGGCCTCCTGGGCCCCAGGGTCTCTGCCCCCCCAAAGCCTTGGGGTTGGAGGGACCGCTTGGCCCCACAGTGATCACAGCCCCCCGCTGCGAAGCCCTCAGCACCCTCAGATCCCTCGGCAGAGCACGGACTGGGCACGGGCGCCCGGCCCTCCAGTGGCCTCGGGTGCTCAGCCCCCGGTGGGGTGGGGGTGCTGGAGAAAGCCACCCCAGGCCTGTCCACCCCAGGCCCCAGGGCCCCGCCGTTCGGGGGGCCGGGGCTCAGGCTCTCCCTGGAGACTCTCCCAGAATGGACTTTTGTCTAGCTGGTCCCGCAGGGAAGCCCAGACCGTACTTGGCCGGGGCGGGTGTGGGGTCGGGGGACAGAGACCCCCCGCACGCCCCCTCAAGGCCTCAGAGCCAGGGCAGCCAGCAGCTCTGGTGAGCACCGCAGGGGAGGAAGCGGCGCCGGCAGGACTGAGGGACGCTTCAAAAGTGGGGCTTTGGTGCCCTCTGCTGGTCGTGTCTGCAAATGGCCGCCCTGTCCCCCTTCCTGGCACAGGCAGGTGCCCCTCCCTGAAGGTGCTGCGCAGGGGGCCCGAGCGGGCGGGGTCCCAGGCCAGGCTCCCCAAGGGGGGACGCGCGTGTCTCCCCTCGCGGCCTGGAGGGACACAGACGCTGCCCAGGGCTCCACCGGGGGGCCTTTCCAAGAGCTCAGGCCACGGGTTCCTGGTCTTGCTCCCTCTCCGGGGCCGGCCCCCCCAGGCTGCAGGCCCCCAAGGGGAGGGCACCCACCCTGGCATCCCTGCATCTGCCTCCCTTGCCCCTCAGGGAGGGGCCGCTGCTCCGGCCTGGAGAGCAGCGAGGACGGTCAATATTTACTGACACAACAAGGCAAATACTGCCCCAATGGCCAGGCGGAAGTGCCAGTTTATCGGTGCCAGGGGCAGGTGCAATCTGGGGAGCCAGCCTGGAGGCAGCTGCACTGGCAGCACGTCCTCAGTGTGTGGGCACCAGAGGGACAGACATCCTGGCTCCAGCCTCAGTCTCCCCCTTGAGAATATGGGTTCAACAGTGACAGTGGGACACAGAACAGACCGGAGAGCAAGTGCGTGGGGAGTAAGGAGGGCCTGCAGTGTCCCCCGGGAGACCCTGGCCCTCCAGTGAGGGGGCTGGGGGCCCAGCAGGGTCAGGGGGCTGCTCCTCCATATTCCGCTGCCCCTGCCGAAGGACATTTGGACTGGATGCCACTGACCGGGGAGGAGAGCCCAGGTTCCAAGGGCAGGCAGGGTCTGAGGGCACCGGACGACTGTCCTCCCGATTCCCAGAAGAGGCGGAGCACGTACGCTGATGGGGTGGCAGAGCCAAGGTCTGTGGGCCTGGCTTCCATGGGGTGACCTGGGGGCTCCGGGAAACTGGGGCGTCGGGTTCAGTACTCAGGGTGGTGCTAAGCAGGAGACTGGGTCTGATCCCACCTCTGTCACCTGGACCCTGGCGACCATGGGCACGCACTTCTCCCCACTGCCGGGATCCGTTGGTGCAGGGGGTGCGGGGAGTCTCCCTCCTGCCCTTTTAAGAACATAGCCGCGGGGGGCTGGGGGCTGGGGGCTGGGGGCTGGGGGCCGGGCAGGAAGGCTCAGCTGGATTGGGCTTCAGGCCTGGGGTCAGTCTCAGGAGGGACAGGCCCCAGCCCAGGCAGGGGGGCCCAGGGGGACCGCATATCGTAACCGGGTCTCTGGGTGGGCAGCCTTTCCCACTGCATGGGCATGAGCCCTCTCCTGAACCGTGCCCCCCAGGAAGGAAGACCTCAGGGATGCCCCCAAGCCCCCAGCACCACCCGACACTGGCTGTGCTGTGAGTCCCCCAGCTGGGAAGGCCCCACATGCTCCTGGACCCCAGAGGGCTCCCAGAATTCGCTGGCACCTGAGAGAAAGGAGCCCCTGTGTCATCTTTCAGGGTCTTGTCCGCCAGCAGCCAGGCAGCCAGGACCCAGGCTGGGCTAACTGCTGCCTCTGGGATGCCCTGACCCCACCAGCCTGCTCCCCGTCCCAGCTGCACGCAGCCCGGCCCACGGGCACTGACATACCTTAACTCCTGCAGGACGCCCCGGCCTCTACCCCTGCGGATGGGGCCACCTGGCTGTTCCCATGGACAGTTCGCCACTGATGCCAGCCACCTCCTCCCCTCCTCTTCCGGGTCCAGTGTCCGACCAGCCGCTCCAGGGGCGGAGCTAGCTGGGGATGGCCACATTGCCTCTGGGGGTGTCGAGGTCGCGGGGAGGGGGTGGCCCGGGAAGGGACCTCAGGGCTCAGAGAGGCTGCCAGGACAGCCAGGCCCTAGCAGGAGGATCTACTTTGGGCTCCGAGGCCACCTCTGAGTGGTCTGCCGCCTCGGGGGACCCGGGCACCCAGCCCCAGGCCCAGTCATCCCAGGCCCCAGCCCGGGCGGAGCCTTCAGGAAAGGTGCAGATTGGTTTGGCTTGGGCGGCTTGCTGGCCGGCCAGACTTTTGTGCAGCCAGGGTCACCCGCTGACCTCCCAGGCCACAGCCAGCCCAGACAGCCCCTAGGTCCTCTGGCACGCCAGATGACGGCTCAGGCGGGGTGCCCAGTGGACCCACGCTGGAGGAGCCCTGAACACCTGAACCTCAAGCGGCCTCATCCTTAGTCCTGACCACTGGGTCTGGGGCTGCTGAGTGGGAAGAGAGGGCCTCAGGGCATCAGGGAGACCCGGCCCTGGCCCTGGCCCTGGCCCTGTGGACTGCAGTTCTTGGAGGAACACAGCCAGGACCTGCCTAAGTGCTAGGCCCGAGGCCCCAGCCCAGTAACCACAGGATCCAAGCCCATCCCTCAGCTCAAGGGTTGCCATCTGGCTTCTGATTCCTCCAGGGCACTCAGGAGTTCCTCTGGCAGGATCTGGGCTGCTGCTGGAGCAGCGCTGGGCCTGTCCAGAGCAGGGGTGCTGGTGGGGCAGGAGAAAGGCCCAGCCCTGGGCACTCTCTTGTCCCCGGCCCCCACTCAGTCTCTTCCCTTTGCATGGCCTCCATCAGAAATAGCACTACAAGTAGAGCACCGCAGGCCTAGGTGGGGAGAAACTGCTGGAATATTCTTATTCCCTTTCCTTGGAAAGCTCTCTGGGGGCCCCGAGAGCTCAAGGCTTTTGAGCTAAGGAAGTCTGCTCCCAACCAGCCCCCAGGCCCCCCAGAGCCCCCGAGGTCCTTCTCTGTCCTGTGCTGAAGCAGCCAGGGGCCATGGGACCTCCTAGCACCCAGGGCAGGGGGCAGCCGGCAATGGGCAGGAGCTTGCCTTTGGGCACCCAGTGGGCAGGGGCCAAGTTTGGGGGGGCTGGTGTAGAGAGAACAGGAAACAGGGGGTCCCTGGAAGGGCCCCTAGCCCACACCTCAACCCCTGCGCCTCACAGACAACACCACTAGGGCTCATTCAGAGGGTTTATTGAATCACTTGGGGTGCAGAGAGCCGAAGGCTTGCGGCCACCGTGACCTGCAGCAGGTGCTGCCCACGTCCTGCTCCCGGCGCCTCTAGTTGCAGTAATTCTCCAGCTGGTAGAGGGAGCAGATGCTGGTGCAGCACTGCTCCACGATGCCTCGCTTCTGCAGGGCACCCTCCAGGGCCAGGGGCTGCAGGCCGCCCTCGCCAGGCGCCCCAGCCAGCTCCACGTCCCTCACTGCGGAGGAGCCAGGCGGAGAGCGGGTCAGGGTCAGGGAGAGAGCGTGCCCCGCCCACCCCACCCCGTGCCAGTGGCTCCCAGGCCCCAGGGTGGTGCCAAGGAGGGAGGCTGCCCTCAGGCTTTGGTGCCCGACCCTGACCAAGGAGCTGGTCCCTTGCAGGATGTAGACCAAGGGAAAGTCATTTTTCTTTTTAACATTTCCACCTGGCCTGCCCCTGGGGCCAGGTAGGGAGCCAGGGCGGGGGCGGCAGGGGCTCACCCTGCAGGTCCTCCACCTCCCGGCGGGCCTTAGGCGTGTAGAAGAAGCCGCGCTCCCCGCACACCAGGTACAGAGCCTCTACCAGGTGGGAGCCACACAGGTGTTGGTTAACGAAGGCTCGGGTGGGTGCGGGCGCCCAGAGGGCCAGCAGGGCCAGCAGGGGCAGGAGGCGCATCCAGAGGGCCATGGCGACCTGGGGACAGGCAGGGTTGAGGCTGGCAAGGGGCATGCCCCCCCCCACCTTGAGCCCACCCGGCAAAGGCCCCGAGGCAGCAGCTCTTCTCCTCCTGCTGCCTTGAGAGCACAGGCTGGCGGGGAGGCAGCGGCGGGGAGCCCGTGGGGACAGACCTGTTTGCCGGCCGTGTCGGGGTGCAGCTGGTCCCGGGGGCTGGGGGCTGCTGGGCCCTCCTGGCTTTATAGCTCCCGAGCCCACGGCCTGGCCATGAGGGGGTGGCAGATGGCCGGAGGCTGAGGCTGCAATTTCTGGATCATTTCCCCAGTGCTGGGTCTGCGGGAAGAGCTCCTTGGTCGTCAGAACCCCGGGCCTCGGGGTCATTAGAGTCTTAACGAGGGGCCTGATGGCCACTAACAGCTGGGGCCAAATGTCCCCACGGGGGCAGAGCCCCCCACCTGGGCCTTGCCTGAGCCACATTTTCCACATTAGTGCAGGGGAGCTGGGGGCCAGAGCTGGGGGCTGCTTCTGCCCGGGCCCTGGACCTCAGCCAGTCCCTGGTCTGCCCTCCAGGTCCCTAGGATGGTGCAAGACCATGAGGGGGGGCTTGTGGGGGAGCATCTCCTCCCTGCTCACAGCCCACCCCCCAGCCCCAGCACAGCAGCCCTGAGACCTCTAGCACCCCAGAGTACCGTGCAGAGGGCCGAGCTCGGGGACCGGCCGCTGTGCAGACACTCAGGTGGGGCCGCACTTCTCAACTCTACTGTGGGGGCTGCAGACACCCTCTGTGTGGGGCCCCATATGTCCTGCCCACGCTCCCTCTCCGTGTCTGCCCCTGTTTCTGGAGCTCTCTCTGCCCACCCCCCATGCTGGCCCCTTCCAGACTTTTGATGCCCTGGACTGTCACATGGTTGGGGCCCCTGTGCTGCTCCCCAGTCCCATGGACAGGCCCAGGAGAGAGGTCAGGACCCTCTCCCCCTCCCCCTGCCACCAGGGTCTGGGACAGGCTGAGCCCTGCCCCATCTTCTCACTTCACACCCAGGGGCAGGAGGGGCTGGGAGCTTCCTGCACCCCTGCCTCGGCATGGACCCCAGTGTCCAGTCTGGACCCTCTGCCCAGGTAGCTCTGGCCTGTGTCCCTGCACGGGGTCCACGCACTCTGAACTCAGGCTGTGCCCATGCCGCTCTCTGTACAGGGCGGATGCCGACTGTCATGGGGTGCTGTCCCCACTGTTGCATCCACCCAGGCTGTGCGGCAATCCCCAAGGCCAACACGGAGCCTGTGGGGTCTGCAGCCTGGGAAACTGGGTGGAGGCAGACCCAGGTAAGAGGGTGGAGGGCCCGGGGGGTGAGGGCCAGCCGTCAGCCCTTCCCTCAGGGTCTCAGTGGAGCTCACAGCCATCAGAAATGCGCCACTGGGGTCTCATGGGCTGAAGAGAGGAAGGTATGGGAGGTCTGGGCACAGACAAGGTACCTGAGGCACAGAGGACAGGAGGACAGACCTCCAGGGAGGGCTGGGGAAGAAGCCTTTGCCCCGGAGGGCCCTGACAGACGAGTAGGAGTTTGCTGGGATTGACATCCTAAATGCTTAAAGCCAGAGCCCCGGGCTGTGTTGTGGCTGCGGGGAGTGAGCAGGGCCTGAGACACCGGCTGGCATTTCCACCCCGTGCCAAGCATGGAGCCCGGCCCCTCCTGGGAAGCCCGCAGGCTGCTCTCTCCAAGGACCAGGGCAGAGTAGGAAGGAGAAGGGGCACCACAGACCGGGCCAGCACTGGAGGAGGCTGGGGCCCCGGCTGGAGGGCCATGTGCAGCCCCCTCGAGTGAGCAGAGGCGCAGCTTATAGAGCCCAGAGTCCAGGCCCCAGTTGCCTTGCTGGGGACACAGGCCCAGAGAGGCCCTCTGGGAACCAGCTCAGAACACATTTTTGGGACAATTTCTAGGCCCTGCTCTGTGCGAGTGGGATGCCTCAGGGCCCGGTTCCTGCACCTGCTACGGGCTGGCCCCTGGGGCCCTGTCTCCCCTGCAGTGGGGACTGCTGGCTTGTGAGGAGGACCCAGCCTGCAGCCCTGCCTTGGAAACCCCCCAACGCAGAGCTGTGAGCCCCCGGGGTGGCTCTGATGGCCAGTCCCCACCCCACCCCACGAGGATGGGGGGCTCACCCAGGACCCCCTATGACCTCAGAGCTGCTGGAGCTCAGCACAGGCTTGTCCTCTGGGGCGAGCAGGGCATCCAGGCACAGAGGGGTCCCCTGTCTGGGCCTGGGCTGCCTGATGGAGTCTCAGAGGAGGAGGGAGACTGAAGAGAAAACTTTGAGCCAGGCCAGGAGCGGGACGAGAGGGGCCCAGGATGGCTTCATGGCCCATGAGCCCCACACACAGACGTGGACACCAGGGGGGCTCAGAGGGATTCTTTCTTTTATTGGGATTGTGAGTGGGCAGCACACAGCATCACGGGCAGGACGAGGACACTGCAGGCAGAGCCAGGAAGCAGCGGGGTCGGGGTTGGTGGGGTGCCTTCCCGTGGGGAGGGTCTCTGGCAGGCTCTTGGGGTGCCCAGTGCCCCAGCCCCTTGCTTAGGCAGGGGCCAGGGGAGGCCGGGGAAGGGTGAGGAGACTGCAGGGGCCTCTCTGGCTGCAGCTAGCCGATGGCGCTGAGTGCATGGGCGAGGGTGTGCAGCTCGTCCTGGACCCCCTCCAGCGAGCGCCGGATGGCGTGGGGACTGTCCAGCACGTCGATGGCCAGCGTATATGGGTCGAACTTCACGGAGAAGGGGCGTTGGATGCGGGAAGCGTAGTTCCTAGGGAGGGCAGGGCATATGGGCCCTCGGTCACCTGGTGGGGACTCAGGGGTCACTGGGGAGATAGGGAGGAGCGGGCCAGCCTGGGGCAGAGTCTGCGGCCTCTTTCGTCAGTGCAGGGTGAGAGCTCCCTGCGACCAACCAACTGGATGAGACGGTGGGGGTGGGGGGTGGGGCTGAGGCCAGCTCGGAGGGTAGGTGGCAGGGGAGGGGTAGGCCTTTCCCATTCGGGCCTCTGCTGGACCCCTGTCCCGCCCCACCCCTCCAGGAGTCCTTTCCAGGTCTGTTCCTGTCCCTACTACCCCCTGCCTGTGGGATCCAGCCCTCCCCATCTCCTGCCTCTGAACACAGCCTCTGGCTGCGAAACAAGGCCCTTGAGGACTTGAGGACGAGCAGGTGGGATGCATCGGGCTTAGCCCCCTCTCCCCTCAGCGCCGCCCCTCCCCCCCGCCCGGCCACCCTGGGAACTCCTCCTTGCTCCCTCCCAGCCACCCCGCCCCTCCTTGCTCCCATCCCACGGCCCCAGCTGTTCAGCCTGCAGGAGGCTGGGAAGGGTCCCACACATCCTTCTGGTAAAGGTCAAACTCTGTCCCCTAGAACCTGACATTGCCCTGGCCACCAGTCTGGCAGGTGTGCCCCTCCCTCCCCAGGACTTTTTGGGGGTCCTGCTGTGGGCGGGGTGTGCACAGTTTTCTCTGTCCAGAGGGCTCACAGGCCCTGCTTGTGGGCTAGCCCATCTGGGGACGGGGGGGGGGGGTGGTGGTGGCAGGGGTCGAGGCCCTGGAGCCTTGGCCTACCTGAGCTTGTCCTTGGCATCGCTGAAACTTTCAGACACAAAGTAGACCGACTGGTAGGTCTGGTCCTGGTAAGGCTGCACGGCCGCAGCGTCTGGGTCGAAGGCCCGGATCTCGGGCTCCTCAGACAGGGAGTGCTGGGGGAGACCAGGGGTCTCAGGAGCCTCACACCCCAGGCCCCGTGGGTGGGGGAGTTCATGGCCTGACTCCACAGCCTCCTCCCCAGGCCTGGGGCCCAGTGTGGGTGGGACGAGCTTCTTGGCCCCCTGATGGGTTGGTCCCCGGGAGGCCCCGTGTGACCACCCCCCACCCCCGGCTGGGAGCCGTGGCAGGGGGACCCTCACCAGGAGCTCCCCGTAGGAGGACAGCAGCCCAGCACCATAGGCCTTCACCTCACCATTCTGCTTGCACAGCCCGAACTCCACTGTGAACCAGTACAGCTGGCAGGACAGCCACAGTGTTGCTGCAGAGGCAGCCGTGGGCACTGCCAGCCCCCCACCCCTGGGGCACCCCTCACTCCCCCAGCAGAGCCTGGCCAGGCTCTGGGGGTCACAGAGTAAAGGTGACACTCCCTGGACAGAGGTGGACACCTCAGCTCAGATGGGGGTCCCTGGCCTGAGCCCAGGTGTCCTGAGTCCACCCCCCATGGCCCCGCAGGGGAAGGCACCCACCGTGGACAGCTTCTCAATTTCCTCATCGGAAGCCCCCAAGGACGCGAGCCCGATGTCCTGTGGAGGCAGGAGAAACTGAGGAGGGAGGGCTCAGCTCACCACTGCATGGGCGCCTGCTCCAGGGGCCTCCTGGACATTACCCAGAATGCAAGGACCCTCTGGGGATTCAGGGACCCTCCAGGGATACAAGGACCCTTCAGGGATGGGGGATCCTCCAGGGATATGGGGACCCTCCAGGGATGTAGAGACCCTCCTGGGATGGGGGGACCCTGCAAGGGTGACGGACCTTCCAGAGATGTAGGGACCCTCCTGAGATGGGGGGTACCCTGCAGGGGTGAGGGACCCTCCAGGGATGGAGGGCCCACCAGGGATGGGGAGCCCTCCAGGGATGTAGGGACACTCTTGGGATGGGGGTACCCTGCAGGGGTGAAGGACCCTCCAGGGGTGAGGGGACCACTCAAGATGAATCAAAAGACCAAGACCGCTCCCTGCTGTTCTTTAGGACGCCAGCAGGTGGCAGCAGAGGCCATGGGACTGCCCTCCCCGGGTCAGCTCTGCACCAGGGGGGCTGACTCCTCAGTTTTATGAGGTGATTTTCCCAGAAGGGGTCCAGGCACACCCCACACGGCCCACCTGCCCCTCTATCCCAGGATGACTCAGGTCCTTGAAGCCTCCTGGACCCAAGTGGCCACCGTCCAGCCACTAAGGGATTTGGGCACAGTTCGGGTGGAATGGCTCAGGTGGCAGGGGCCCCGGACAGCCCCCAGCCCCCAGCCCTGGACCACAGCCCAGGACCACAGCGCCCCCCTCCCCAGCCCTCGAAGACACACCTGGGAAAACTGAGCGAAGGTCCGGTCAGCCAGCATGGGCACGTGCCCCAGCAGCTCATGACAGCAGTCCCTGTGAGGGTGGGGAGAGGGGTGGCGCTGGGGGGCTGGGGAGCCAGCAGCCCACCCCCCTGCACCCGCCCTCATGCTCCACACCCAGGCCCTCCACCCGTAGACGGGCGCCCTGCTGGCCCCGTTGCGTGAGGCTGGGCAGTGTGGGCAGGGCCAGGGGGAGCAGGTGCACACTCACGGCTCGGGGGAGTGCATGGGTGAGGACGCGTGTCGGATGTACTGCGTGCACTGGAACACTCGGAAGGCCAGGCTGGCCAGGAAGTCCCTTGCGGACAGCAGACCGGCCACGGGCCGCAGCTGGAAGCCTGTCCGCTCTGCAAGGACCACGGGTGGTCAGGGCACGGGGCCAGGGCAGGGGCACCTCCGTGCCCAGGGGGGGCACCTCCGTCCCTGGGCCTGTCCCCTGCAGCACACGCACCTTTCAGGAAGCGGGACACGTCCTCCAGCTGGGGGATGCTGTCCTCACGGTACCCGCTGAAGCGCTCCAGCAGCTGGAAGGCCTCCAGGTGCTCCCGGCAGGCATGGGTCACATACAGGCTTTTCAGGGTGGTGTAGACCTCCTTCCTGCAGATGAGGAGCCCAGCCCTGGCTGCGGGCCCCCCACCCCATCCCCTCATCCCCTCGTCCCCTAGTGGGCACTCTGAGGGGCCCCTCACGGCAGGTCTCTGGCCGGACCCTGAAGACCCTGGCCACTAGGAGGGACCGTTGCCTGTGGCTTCAGGGGTGGGGTACCGAGGGACAGAGGGCCACAGGGCCAGGCCAACCCACCAGCAGCCTCTCGCTCCAGGCGGACAGTCAGGGCCTTGGGAAGTCCCTCCTCTACCCATGGCCTTCGCACAGGGCCCTCCTTGTCCCCTCCACCCCGGCAGGGACCTTACCAGGTGGCAATCTCCTCGGCCGTGTACTCCACTCGGGGAATGGGGTCACCACTGCGGGGGGAGGTGGCAGTCAGTGGGGCACCGTCGGGAGGATGTGGGGGAGGGCCGACAGGAAGGCCTTGGGGCTGAGCACTTGGCAGCCATGCAGCCTCGGCAAGTGGCCTGCTTTCCTCAGCTGGGATTGGGGGACCCTAGCCAGTGTCCACAGTGATGGTGACAGAGACGTCCCCTCCCCCACCAGCTCTACCCTCCAGGTTGGGTCTGGGTCCGAGACTGAAGCCCCAGGGTCCTTACTGCTTGTATTGGAATGCGATCTCTGCAATCAGCTTCCTGCGCTGGCGGTACACCTGGTCCGAGAAGCCCTGGTGGCACAGTGGTCGCGCTCGAGAGGCTTCCTGACACCCCCTCCTTGCCTGCCGCCCCCTCCCTGCCCACTTCCTTTTCCCTGCCCAGCACCCTTTCCCTGCCCACCACCCCCTCCTTGCCCACCACCCTTTCCCTGCCCACCATCGCCTCCCTGCCCGCCCCACCAGCGGGGTGCCTGGTGGTTGCATTTAGCCAGACCTTAGTGGTTCTCCTGGGAGCCAGACAGCAGACAGACAAATGCCCCATCTGGGGTCAGCCTGGGGCCCACCCCACCACCCTGGCCGTGACTACGGGGGCACAGGAGGCCAGGAGGCCCGTGGGCACCGGCTCACCGGGTGATCCAAGTCCAGGTCAGGGTCAAACTTGGTGACCAGATGGTGGCACTTGTCCAGCTCAGAAACTTTCCTTGGGAACCAGAGGACTTCATGGTGTTGGATGGAACAAGCTTTCATGAGTGTCAGGCCACCCCAGGAGCAGCCTCCCTTAGGGCTTCCTCGAGGCAGGAGGGCAGGGGACAGAGGGCAGGGGGGCAGGGGGCTCTGACTGCCAGGTAGACAGCACACAGACGGACAAGGGCCTGAACCAGCAGGGAGGGGGCCCCCCAAGCTGCACGTGGGTCACCCCAGGGGTCCCCTGTGAGAGCCTCTGCACCCCTATCTCAAGGTCAGGGGTTGCCCTCAAGCAGCCTCACCCTTGTTCTCCCCGGCACCACGCACATCCTCCGCCACCCGGCGCACGGAGCTGAGCAGGGCAGGCAGGTCAGCACTGGGCACCTCACAGCGCACAAAGTACTCCAGGTGGGGGCCCCCTGCCCGTGGCCTTTGGGCGGGCCGGGTCTCCAGATGGTGGATTTGGGCTTCAAACGTCTTAGGGAACAAGGGAGAGATAGAGGGGGACGGGAGACCGGGAGATGGGAAGGAGGAGCCACTGTGGGGTCAGATGTTTGTGGCCGGACACCCAAGCTCTCCCCACTCGGGTCAGAGCCTGCGGCCTGAGCAGGGCTTGCGGCCAGGAGATGGAGTTTTGTCCACTTTGTGTAATGGGAGTCATCGCATCCAGTGCTCGGGGTAATGAGACGTGTCCCTCGGCCACACCCAGACAGTCCAAGTCCCCAGCTGCCAGCTGGAAGGTCTGCCACCCCTGGTGGCCCCATCCGGGGCTGGGAGTGGAGCCCACTGCAGCCCCCAGGAGCCTCAAGTCCCCACTCAGTGCCGCGGAGCGCCCCAGGGCCTGGCAGGAAGGCTCCGCTCCGCACCACCTCCCGTCGCCCAGCAACGAGGGCGCCTGGGTCTCAACGGGCCCTCGGGCCACACAGCCGTCCAGTTGCTGGAAGAGTCCAGCTCTAATGTCATTTGGGTGCGTGTGCCAGGAGCCAGTGTCCCGCCCAGCCCGGTGTGGCCAGAGCAGCTAATGCAGTCAGCTGTCACATTAGCCAGAGTCCATCAGGGGCAGGTGGGTGTGGGGGACCCCAACTTTCCAGGCTGCCTTGCTGGGAGCCATACCCACTCACCCTGTGTGTCACCCCATGTGTGAGGTGGTAGGGGTGGCAGGGCTGGTGGCCTCAGCCCCAGAGCTGGGGCTCAGGGAGTTCCCAAGGACATGAGGGCTACTCTGAGGGCCGTTGGGCCCCCTGGAGCTCTCAGGCGGGCAAAACCCCAGGCCCAGGGCTCCTGGGACCCTCTCCCCTCGTCGACCTCTGTGACCTGGGCAGCCACGCTTCTGTGTGAGTCCCATGGAGAGGACAGCCCTGCCCACAGCAGCCACAGGTGCACACCTGCCACCCTCACCTCAAATGCCTTCACGGCTCGGGACAGTGAAGAGGTCTTGGCGCCCCGCAGGGTGAAGAGCAAGTTCAGCATGGCCTTCCCGTCCTTCTCCTTGGACACCGCGGCCTCCAGGAGGTCTCCAGGCTCCGAGGAGGCGGCCGACGCGGCCTCTGCTTTCTCTCGCTCCTTGCGTGCGTCCTCAATGAGGCTCTGGCGCCGCCCGATGAAGCGCGGGGACTGCGGGGACAGGGCACGCCCAGCTCCCCCAGCCCTCGGCCGCCCCCATCCCGGTTCTGACCCACCGGTGTCCGTGAGCACCTGCTGCCCGTGGGAGAGAGACTGGCCGGCCAGGCCTCGCCTGCGGGGACAGAACTAAGCCCGGGGGCAGCCAGGAAGGTGTGTAGTCACAGGCTAGGGGCGGGTGTGGTGAGGGGAGGTGCCCCTGGCACCCTCAGGCTGCATTCTTCGGCCCCTGGGCCCCCACCCAGAGGAGGTGACAGGAGGTGACGCAAAACCCTGAGGTGGACATCGGCCAGAGGGCATAGTCTGGCTCCTAGGAGGGCCCCCCACACCAGCCCCTCTGAATGACCTCTCCTTATGACCCTCCTCCCACGGCCCTTCCCCACAGCACAGGGACATGAGGCCCTTCATCTGGACCCAGGTGCCCATGTCCACAGCCTGTCCCCAAGGCCGCGAGCCCCAGGGCCTGCATGGAGGAGGAGCTGCACGTCTGGGGCTCATCCCTCGGAGCTGAACTTCCAAGAACATGGTGGGGAGGGAGGAGGAGAAACCCCTCGAGCCCCCACTTGGCCTCCGGGTGTGGACAGAGCAGGGCTGCAGCCCCAGGTCGGAGAGCCCCGGGCCTCCTGGGGTGAGGAGAACCATTGAGGGGACAGGGGGGCAGTTCCCTGAGCAGGTGCCTGCAAATCACATTTCCAGAACCCAAATCATGTTCTCATTCAAGGTCTAAAAACAAAAGCCCACTTGAGATGTTTGGGAGCTGATTATCCCGGGGCAATCCCCGAGGGCACGGAGACCCTCTGCCGGCCGGAGAGGCCTCCAATTATCCAGTTTCATGGGGGTGCTGGCCAGCACAGAGCTGCTGACCTCGGGGTCCCCGGGGTGCTGGGCGATGCCTTGGAGGCTGTCCTGGTTGTCAGGGGGCCCCGGGGGTGCTAGGGAGGGGAGGTGGGGTTCAGGACAGGAGGTCACTCATGGGCATGGATGCGTGGCCGGTGGACAGGTGGAAATCACCCCGGAGCCCCGGCCACCCCTGGGCTCAGCACCGGGTCCTGCACCCCTGCGTGGCCAGTGCCTCCCACCAGGAGCCGCCACCAGGGCCTGGGAGGAACCACCCACAAGATGCAAACACCCAGGCACGGGGGTCACCTGGCAGCTTGGGTAGAGCAGGTGCCCACAGCTAGGACCCCCCACACTGTGCCCAGGTCCGCGGTGTCATGTGGACGCTGAGTCCAGGGCCCCCATCAGCCTTCAGGGGACACTCTGCACTTCGGGTCCCTCTGGCCACCAGCAGCCCCCTTACCATGATGGCTTCGGCCTGCTTGGCGTCCAGCTCCGAGACAGCCCTGCGGAAGCCCTTGGCCTGCGGCGAGGCGGTGTTGGGAGTGGGCATGGCGCCGGCGTGGGTCCGGGGCTCGCCTCACAGCCCTCTGCCAGGCGGCCTCTTATAGGCTGAGCTGACGTCAAGGCCCCTGTGGGTCCCCCACCTCCCACCTCCCCGCGTCCTCTCCTGCCGCTGGAGGGAGGCGGTGGGCGGGAGCGAAGACGCGCAGGAGAAAGGGCTCTGTCCCATTAAATCTAATTGCATCCCCGCCGCAGGCACCCAGCAGGGGCAGCGGCCCTCGCTCTGAATCACTGGCTCCAGAGGACGGCCTCTGCCGGGCTGGGGACGGCTGGGGTCCCCTCAGCAACACACCCCACGTGGGGGGGACCGGCAGGTATACAGGGAGGTGCTGTCCTGGGCACCCTGAGAGCACACGTGATACAAAACCCTCGACCTCAGTGGCAGGTGTTCCCGAAACCCCCAAGAGGAGAAATCCAGACTCAAACCTCGGATATCGGGAAAATATTTGCTTTTCCAGAAGATTCTTCATTTCACCAAATTTCCCAACGGGGCCCCACAGCAGGTTCCATTAGATGCCACCGGCAGGACTGTTCTCCGTCCCTTGTCCCATTTCCCCAGGGCCTGGAACCCCAGGCACGGCCAGTGAGACTTGGAATGTTCCAAAAAGGCCCATCCCGCCAGCATGAGGAGGCTGGGAAGCCGGGGAAGGAAGTCTGTAACAGGGGGGAGATGGCCCGTCTCCCCTGGCCTGCGGCCCACCTTCCGTGGCCCCCCACTCGGCCCCCATGGCCCCCCAAGGCCCTGTGACCATTGCTCGTTCCAGAAACACACCCATCCCCCCCACGCCCAAGGGCCTGGCCCCCACATCCCCCCCTCACTGGTGTCAGTGTCCTGGGGACTCGGGGACACACGTCCTCAGCTGTAGGCCGGCATGAGTACCTCTGCACCAGCCTGCTGGGGACAGCTTTGGGCCACAGTGTGAGGACGCATTGGCCAAGACCTCTGGTAGCTCCTGGGCCCTTTGGGAAGATTTCCCCCCGAGAAAGGACATGCTCTGAAGGGGTGCCTACCTCCCTTGTGCCCTGGGCATGGTGCGGCCAGTAGGGACAGTGTAGCCTGAGCCCACCAGGGAAGGTGGCCGCTGGAGGCGAGCTTTCTGCTGTCGGCATCCCATCCCCGTCCCCGTCTCCGCAGGTCCGCTCCTGGCCACCGTGCTACCTGAGTGCGGCCCCACCTGCTCCTCATCACAGTGGCTGGCCACCCCTTGTCCTCCACGACCTTCCCCCTAACTGGTCTGACCATGTCACTCTTCCTTCACAACCCTGGATGGCTCCCCATTGCCCTCTGGAAGCAGCCCAAGAAGTCAGTTAGTACAAAGAGAGGTGCCTCCCCATGCCTCCCCCTGCCGGTCTTCTCACCCTCGGCTGTTCTCACTTACCACTTCCTGGGGTGCTTGGGAGGCCATGATACCTAGTGTGCAAGATTCACCCCCTTCTTCTGCAGGTGACCTCCTATGCATTCCACAAAACCCAGCTTAGCCAGTATTCATTCTGTGACAGACGTTTGTTGCCCCTGATTTGATCTGCTCTCCTCCTGGCTCATTCCTCCTCCTCTGTGGATGCCCCAAGGCCAGGACCCCCACCCACTGGGCCCAGTGCATCACCCAGTACCTGGTGTAGGCCCTGGCCTGTCTCATCACCTGGACTTGGGCTCATGCAGCAGCCTTGGCCTCCACGGCCTGGCCCAGAGGAAGCCTTTCGTAGGGATGCCTGTGTGCCCCACACAGCAATGGATGGATATGCTCCGAGAGCCCCGAGGTCCGAGTGGACAGGGAGGCCGTAGGCCACCCCCCAGTGCCAACCAGCATGCCTGAGCCCCCGGGGTCCCCAAGCAGCATGCAGGCCTCCTGACATGCTGGGCAGGCCTCCCTGGAAGCCCCCAGGGCCCTCACCTGCCCTCCAGGGTGGGCTGCCAGGGACCCCTTCGTGATGCAGGTCCAGGCCTGCCCGTTAGCCCAGGGGGGAGTGGGGCAGGGGGGCAGGCACCGTGCAGGAGGAGCGCAGCCCTTCACTGTGTGTGGATTTAACCTTTTGGCAAATGTCTTCTGCTGACACGAATATTGTTTTTTAATTCCCTTGCCTACCTGAGCAGTCGTGGGCCTGCGTGGAGGCTCTGCGGGGGCGACGCTTCCTTCCCTGGGGCCAGGTGGCAGTGCAGGAGGGTAGGCGCCAGAGGACACCCTCCCCGGGTGCACGCTGCCCCCCTGGCCTCCCCTGACCACGCACAGGTGGGTCCATCCTGGGATGCCTTCCCCACACACACCCGCCCCCCACCTGGGCCCCTCCTCCACACCCCTGGGTCCACCCCAGCTGGCATCTTCTTTCCTGGCTCTGCACCCTCGAGTCCTCTGGCCCGTGCGCCCGAGGGTCCCCCTGCTCCCAGGGGTGATCTGTAGCGCCTGCCTGCAGACACCAGAGGTGTCTGTGGACCCATTGTCCAGAGGGGAGACTGAGGCCCCACGTGGGTCTTGCTGTATCTCCAGGCCGGGACTCCCAGCTCCCACAACACTGTCCTTTCAAGGACCCAGTGGTGTGGGTCCCCAGGTGCTGGGGGAGCCCAGGGGGAGGAATCTAAGCGGCAGAGACCAGCGGCCCCCGCCCTGGGGACAGAGGGTAGGGCTTCAAGCCACTCAGAGGAGGCAGGCACGGGCAGAGGACATGGGGTCCCTGCTGCCCAGACAGCCCTGGGGCCGTGAGCTAATCCGGGGGGCAGGGCGAGGGCAGAGGGGCCAGGGCCCAGCATGGTGGGGGTGCGCTCTGGGGCTGAACCCGGAGGAGGGGCCAGCCCCTTGTGCAGCCTCCACCCCTCCTGTCACCCGGGAACAATCACAGCCACTCAAGAGGTGCTGAGTTTCCTGTTGTGGCCTCTTTGCGCCCGGGGCCTCCAGAGGATGCAATGGCCCATAATGACAGCGTGCGGCTCCCTGGCATCAACGGGGCGCAGGGGCCTGGGGCCGGGGCCTAGAACCAGGCAGGCAGCACCCAACCTTGGCTTCCTGGCCGCTCCTCAGGGCAGCTGCCTTGCCTGCTATGTGACTCCTGCCCCTCCTCTCCCCAAACCACAGGAGGGCCCAGCCTGAGCTGCAGATGGAAACAGAGGATGCACCTGTCTGGGGGGCCTCATCCCGTAGCTCTGGGGGCCCCCACTATCAGAAACCACATGCCAAGAGTCTGAGGTCCATGCTCCCAACAAACCAGGATTGAAGGTTGCTTCCACAGTGTGAGCAGGACGTGGCCAGTGGGCACCATTTGTGTTGGGAAAGGTACACATCTATGTGACACACGCATGCACACACAGCCTTGGGGCCCGGGACATGAGGTATCCAGAGCCTGGAGCCTGGGACTGGTATCCCTGCTCACAAGGGCACAGGCCTGCATGGACATGCACACAACTTTCCTCTGAGGATTTGGGGGACACTCAGGATGTCGTGCTGCCCTGGGCTGCTCCTGGGCACCCATGGTCCTCGGGGCTGCTGGGGACAGGGAAGCTTGCGTCCCACCCCTCCCCCTCCTGCCCTGTCCCGGGGCAGCTGTACCAGCCCTGGCTATGCCCAGTGGGTCATGGACCAGCCACACACCTCCAGCCTCCCCCAGCCCCTTGGGCTCCCGGGCCTCTTCCTGCTTTGGGAGCAGGCGGGGAAGGAGTCGCCCACCTTCCCCCAAGACGCCCTGTCACACTGGCCCTGTCAGAGCTGAAATGTCAGAGCAATTAGCTCTAACGAGACCATCGGATGGAACCGAGCAGCTGGGCGGGCAGGCGGGGGGAGTGTGTGGCAGGTCGGCCTGGAGCCGGCGCCTCACCGGTCGATCCAATGCTCTCAGGATAATTGGGCATTTGGAAGGCGGACCTGCAGGAAGCAACAGGGGAGGAGCAGGCCATGTCCCCCCTGCCTACCCCCACCTGGGGCCACCTGGGTCCCTTCCGGGAAGAGTCCTGCCAGACCCTCATACCCAGTGGCTGCCCCCTCCTCCTCCAGGCAGACCTCTGTCCTGCCCCTTGTCTGAGCTCCCTTCCCACCAGGCTGATGCCTCATTGGAATCAGTGGGTGGGGGGCTATGCCTGACAGAAGGCTGGGCTCCTGGGTCAGTGTTGGCAATCCACCTTTGGGGGGCACAGAAAGGGGATCCTGACTTTGCCCCTGTCCCATCCACATGGGGAAGAGAAGCACCAGGTCCCACTGACACCAGGGATTCATGCTTTCAGGTCCACTCCTTCCCTCAGGGTCCCCATGCTGGGGTCCTTTCAGTGGGCGGCCTGGGGCCAGGGCAGCTGGGCTGGCCCCCACTGTGCCCAAAAGGAAGGGAGCGCAGGACCCAAGTGTGGTCCAAACCCAGAACCTCATGAAGGAGGGAAGGAGGGACTGCAGGATTTGCAGGGGCCGAGGGGCCTGGGCCAGGGTGCTCCTTCCAGGTGAGGGAAACCAGGTGGCCTGAAAGGAGGGGCTAGGGAAGGAAGGGAGGGGATGGAGAGGCGGGTCACCCAGGCGGCCCTGGCCAGCGGGAGGTCCCTGTAGCCCTTGATGAGTGGCTGTCTGCCTGGGAGGAAGGGCAACATCTCCCAACCCAAAGAGCACCCCGAGTCCTGTGGCATCCCCTTTACTGCTCACGTGCCTTCAAGGGGCAGGATGCTGACATCACATCAGGTCACGGAGCCCCTGTCACCTGGAGGCTGCACCCAGACATGAGGACCCAGGGCCCTGGATGTGTTGACTTGGCCACGAGCACCCCTGGCTGTGCGAGCAGCTGGGGGCGTTTGCACGCATGAGTATCATGCACGTGAACGTGTGTGTGTCATACGGCTGCACGCATGCAGGTGTGTGCATGTGCCGGCCAGCTGGGCCTCAGAAGGCCTGAGTGGCCAGGGTGGGTGACCCGTGGGGCGGCTCCTGGCTCCACATCCCTGTAGACCCTCCATCCACATCACCGCCAAGGCCCCAGCCTCCTGGCTGGTGCCCTGGATTCTGTGGGGTCTGTCCCTGGGCACCCCCA